TTAAGCAGTAAATATGTAAAAATATTCGCTTCAAATGGTGTGAATTCTTTGATTTCATTTGATTGTTTGAGAAGAGTTTTGACATTTGTTTTAATATGGTCGAATTTTTCTGGTGAAGATTGATTTTCATTTTAAAGGTTTTCTTCTTAGACATCAGTGATTTATCAGTAGTAATGTCAATCACTTAATTAACTGATTGATTGAAGAGAGTAGGAAGTATTTGTTGAAGTATTAGTGGAGAAAGGATTCATTTGGATGCAGGTGGTAACAGTGCAGGTATTTTTCACTGGTGATTGAAATAGGAATGGAATAAGGATGAAATAAGATTATCATTTCTGTTTATAATTAGTTAAGCACCAAGGATAAAAGTGAATAATAATTTCAAAATTCATTATAAACAAACAATTATCAATCATAAGCAAAACAATTATCAAAGAGAAATTTATTATGAGCAAACAAGATATAAAAAGCTGGTTTGTGTTAAAATTCCTGGTTAAAATCAAATAATAATTAGTCGTATAAACTTTAATCCTAAGTAAATAAAATTTTTCGTAAAAACAACCATAAATTATTTATGACAATATTTTCATGAATCATTTAGTTGACAGTTTTAGATAATATTGTCGTACCTTCCATTTAATTGATAGTTTTAGAGAATAATTTGTTACAATATAAATTTTTATAAAATACTTGTACGACTTTAGCCACTTTATATTATAAAATAATTTCGGGTTTCCTAATTTATTATCACAATTCGTTTGCTAACTAAATTAGTTATCCAATTTCATTTACTGAAATTTGAAACATTGAGCTTAGGCATGCTTTTATTTTAAACTAAACTGCTCAAATTTCAATGTATATTTATAAATGCCAATGCAATATTTCCATGATTTTTTTTTCTCTTTTTTCCTTTTTTTGAAGTATTTATTTATCGATTTAACCAAAAAAAAATTTTTATCAACAAAATCTGCCACGTAATGAAATGTTGCTATCATTTTAATCTGGGAGGTTCTCTTCAAAGTGTTTTGAGTTTTCATCATTTTCAACGATGTTCTTTCAATCGTTCCGCGTTCATTATGATGTTTGCTTCTAAAATTTTAAAATTTGAAACTGTGCGATATAAAGTTATAACCTTTGAAGTTATAACCTTTTCAGTTTTTTTTTCATATTGCAAAATTTTACTTACTTTAATTGTTATATTTGAAAAAAAACTAAAATACCTTGATTTAATGGACCATTAAAATTTGAGATATTATCAGTTTTAAAACGTAAATGCATTTAAATTCAAATGTAACCGATATGTTCCATTTTCAATTTATTATTGTTTGCAAAAAGTTCTATCATGTTTGTATTATTTTGAGGGATGACAATGTTTAATAAAATAATTATTCATTTCAGCAGTATCCAAATGTGGCTATTTATTATCGCCGTAATATTTGGTCATGTTTTACAACAAGAATTTGTTGAAAGTTGGCCTGATCCATATTTACGTTCAAAAGGTGCCATTTGGCCACAACCGCAATATATTACAATAGTTGACGAATTGATGACAGTTAATTTAGAAACGTTCACTTTCCTTTCAACTGTTGGAGAATGCGAAATTATCGATAAAGCTATCACTCGTTATTATAAACGCTTACGTGGTAAAATAGAATTTAATGGATCAAAAAACATGAAACGACAAAGTATTAAAGCAATGGATGACCAGGTAAAATTTAGTTTTATATGATTTCATTCATGTAGAGGGAAATATTTCAAAGATTTAAAAAGCATGTTTTGTTTTTTAATTTTTTTGTTAATTGTCATTTATCGTTACTAAAATACAAATTGATTTACTTGAAGTGATAAAATTGTCAGTTTCTCTTAATAAATTAATCGCTTAGGTGATGCACAATTATTTTTTTAGCCTAATTTAAACTTGCTTTTTGTTTTCCGAAGACATCTAATTAATTAATTGATTAGTAAAATTTGCACAATTTATTATTTACAGGTTCTCAGCAATTTGACAATAATAGTGAAAGAAGGGTGCACTGATCGATTTCCACAATTTGGTATGGATGAGAGTTATAAATTGAACATTACGAGTAGTGATGGCATTTTGAGAGCTAATCAGGTTTTTTTCCTATCTTTCAATTAAAATTAAGATCAAAATTTGATTCTTTTACATATGGACTTTTAACAGATAATATGAAATTCAGGTTTGGGGCGCTCTACGAGGAATGGAATCATTTGCGCAACTATTTTTCGATAACAATGCCAAAATACGAAAAGTTCTTATCAACGATTATCCACGCTTTTTGCATCGTGGAGTCTTATTGGATACAGCCAGATGAGTATTATTAGCTTAATTCAATTTTGTGATATTCAACAAACTTGAGTTTAAATTCGAAATAATAAATATATGAAGAAAATAAGTAAAATAGCTAATTCGAGAAAAAGAAATAACTGATTTAAATAACATTCAGTTTCAATAGAATTCTTCTAGTGATAACTTTTAATATTTTAATCCTCAATGTGTGAAACTCATCTTAATTATTAAATTATTTTCGGTCAGTTTCATTTATATGTGTATTTTAATAAGTGAAATAACGAAATTATTTTTCTTTATTTTTGAAATATTTTCCCTTTTCTTTTTAAAAAAGAGGGAACTGTGAATTAATTGGCCTATTATAATAATATTTTCAAATTAATGAAATAAAAATTTAATTTTTAAATTAGTTAATTAAGGAATAAAGCGATAATTTCAGGCATTATTTATCAGTCGATGTTATCAAAGCAAATATTGAGCTAATGGCGCAGAATAAATTTAACACATTTCATTGGCATATTGTTGATATCGAATCATTCCCGTATAAATCTGAAGTTATACCTGAATTAATCCAAGGAGCTTATACACCAAATCATATTTATACCATATCACAGATTAAGGTTTTAATTTGTGAAATTTTATTCGAAAAAAATGTTAGGAATATTTTAATAATCAATGAGAACAAATGACCGAATTGTTACCACTCAAACAAGTAATGACCACTTTATATGTCTCAAAACATTTCGTAAATGTCTCAAATATCTGATTTACTAACATTTTTATGCTTATAACTTTCGTATGTTTGTGATAGCAAATGCTAAATTGACTTGTATTTATACGTACATTCATCTGAAATTTATACTTTATGTTTCATAAAATTTTGAAAAAAGTAAATGAAATTTGATTTAAATATCTTTAATACAACAATGCTGCATTTTTATAAATAATACTGTAAAATTATCGAAGTTGAAATTGTTGATCTATCTTTATTCACAATATGTGTAGAAGGATGTTTGAATTTTAGGATATAGTAAACTACGCTCGATTACGTGGTATACGTGTATTACCAGAATTCGATACACCGGGACATATGAAATCGTGGGGTGTCGGTGTAAAAGATCTTCTAACCAAATGTTATCATTCAAATGGCTCGATTTATCGAGATTTTGAGAATTTATTGGATCCAACAAATCCAAATACGTGGGATATACTGAGCGCACTTTTTCAGGTAAATTTTTTTCTTCATTGAATATTTTCTGTGCAATTTTTTTTTCGTTTTTCATTTGCATATATAATTGAAATGTTACTTTTTTGATAAAGTTAAATAAATTATGATTCGAAGATTGGTTATTTTTTAGGAAGTTTTTGCAACATTTCCGGAGAATTATGTTCATCTTGGTGGTGATGAAGCGGAATATTGGTTTACTGAATGTTGGACATCAAATCCGACTATTACCCGATTTATGGAGGTTTCATTTTTCTTTTCTCATTGTAAAACTACAATGAATTGCTAAATATTTTGATCGATGGAAAATTTGAAATTTTTATTTTGGAATATTTCTCAGTATAAAATTGCTTAAGCAATGCCTATAATAAAATAGGAATCAATAAATTTAGTGCAAAAAAAAAAATCAAACAAGTTTTTGTTAAAGATTTATGGACTTAAAGATGGTTCTGGCATTCAAGCCTGGTACTTCAGCAAATTTATTCCACTTCTTCATTCTTTGAAGTATGGAAGAAACAAAAAGTTTCTTGTATGGCAAGTAAGTTTGTTCTTTTTAACGGAAGAAGTAGAAGAAAAAAAGATCTATCATAAAAATAGTTAATCCTTAAACAACAAATTTATTAAATTTTTCAAAATTTCCAAAACTTTCAAGTATTATATGAAATGTTATACATTCATATCAATGAATATGTCTATCATTCATTTTAATTTGTCGAATTAAATTTAATAATTATTAATAAATGATATAAAATTTTTCTTTTTCCTTTAAAAAGGAAGCAATAAATGGAGCAAATTTAACAATGAATGGCACAGCAAAAGATAATTTAATAGCTCATATTTGGAAAAATACAAAAGATGTCGAATATGCAACCAAAATGGGATATTATACAATTTTATCAGCTTGTTGGTACCTCGATTTAATCACATCCACCGCTGACTGGAAGTTATACTATATTTGTGATCCGCAGGTTCTACAATAATTCTTCATTTGAGCAAGAACATTATATTGGTAATACAAATTAAAATTTTATAACTGAAAAAATTATTGAGGTGTTAGAGTTATAAGGTGTAAATAATGAGGAAAATAAAAAACAGAAATTTTGTAGTATACAGCAAAAAGAAAGCGATAAAAAGATTAATGGAAGATTGTGAAATTTAAAAAAAAAATTGTTATTGCTAATTTACTGAAAAGTTAGTTTGTTCATTTTTGATTTTAAAAATTTAAAATATAACACTTTGTTTCACGATTCATTTTTCTTTCTTTTCTCCACTTTTACAATTTCAATTATAAAAATAAAAAAACTGATGGAATTATATAAGGATTTCAATGGTACCGAAGAACAAAAACACCTCGTGATAGGCGGTGAAGCAGCGCTTTGGGGTGAATGGGTTGATGAAAGTAACGTGATACCACGTTTATGGCCACGTGCAAGCGCAGTCGCAGAGCGTTTGTGGAGTTCGGTTGAAACCAAAAGTATTGAAAAAGCGTGGCCAAGGTTATTCTTCAACTCGTTTTATCTTAATAAATAATAGCTTATAACGGCTTATTTGAAAGCAAAACACATGTGCTGCCTCTCTATGAGTAGGAGAAAAAAGGAAAAAAAAATCATATTGATAGAATAATCATAATGAATATATTAAATTAGTAATCGATTGTAGTGATAAGCTGATAATGTTTTACCTGCAGACTATATGAGATGAAATGTCGGATGGCAGCACAAGGGTATCCGGTACAACCGGCTGAAGGACCAGGATACTGTGAACACGAATATAAGATTCAATTGCCCCTCTATGAGTAGGAGAAAAAAGGGAAACAAAATTCATATTGATAAAATAATCATAATTAATATGTTAAATTAGTAATCGATTATCAAGTCCTTTTATATCCGTTATCAAATTGAATCAATAACTATTTTATACATCTTTTCTTCCTCTGTTGTTGTTGCATATGTTCATTGACAAGTGAAAGATTTGACTTTTTTAATTTTCAAATGGAAAAAATTAAAAAATTATGGAGTGAAATTATTTCCAACTAAAAAGTTAATATTGACAAATTTTAATTCTTTCAATAAAATAAAAACTTCCACTTTTCAGCATAATAGCTGATATCAAAATTATACATTGTAATTGCATTTTTATTTATTAATATGCAGTGAATTCGATTTTTTTTTTGATTCCAACAAATTTTGAAATAAATCATCAAAATATATTTTTTGTTATTAATTTTGTTACATTTTTTTGTCATTAATTTTGTTCAAAATATAAGTGCAATTTGATAGAACTTATCAATAACACAGCATGATAAAAATGTTTGAATATTTTTATTATTAATTTTGTTCAGAATATAATTGCGATTTGACAAAACTTATCAATAACACATCAGATAAATGATATTTTCGAATCAGAAAAAAAGAAAAATCAAAAAAGAAATTATAGCGAATTTCTTAGGCGATTCAATTTCATTCTTTTTAACCGTATGAAAATTTCTTTATGCAAAATGAAATATGAGTAAGAAAAGAATCAGGAAGCAAAAAAAATAATGAAAGGAAAAGATAAATTTTTTTTGTTAATTGTTAATTATTTTAAAATAAAAGTTATCAACTTAATTAAAATTGGAAATCACGGAATTTCGTTTTTTTCACAAATCAAATACCTTTGATCACATTGCTATATCGTTGCTCCATTAATGCATACTTATATTAATTGGATAGTTAAATTTTACTTTTGCAAACACCAACTTAAATGTGTTCATCCAAAGATTGAAAATTTTTTTCTTAAAAACATCAATAAATAAACATTTGCAAATGAATTGATTAACTCTATAATTAATTTTCATTTTATTTTTAAATTTGCCTGAATTTTTTGCATCATCAATTTTATGGCAATTATTTCCAAATATAAAATGTTTTATCACATAACTATCATTTATTATTAAAACAATTAAATTTAACAATATTTTTTTTCCAAAAGCGACAATAAATAAAAAAGGAATTAATTGATTTGATGAATTTTCACTTTTTTATTTTTGTTTCAAAATATTCAAGCAATTATTCATTTTTGCATCACAAATAACCTAATGAATATGTCAATAAATTTTTTGAATTTTTTGTAGTTGAAATTTAAAATCTGACTTCTGATTTTCTTGCGTGCGTGCTTTCCTTGTTTCTACTCATCTTCTATCACTTTTCGTTTTCATTTTAAATGAAATTTAAATGAAAGTTATCATTTTTTGTTGCTTTTATCATTCTAATTGGGACATTTCATTTTTCAGCATAAAATCGAAAAATAAATCAGAAATTTTACTTAAAATAATCACTATGATTACCACTTACAATTAAACATACATTTTGCAATATTTGGAAATAAAAAAACAAAAGAAGGAAAATTAATTAACAAAATCGTTTATCAGAAACTTTTTTCTTTTTTTAAAATCTATTTTTGAATTTGAAATATTTTGGTCCTTTGTAAAACCTAAACTTTTCATTTTGTGATCTTCATAACTCATTTTGTTTATTTTTGATCCCAACAAAAAAAGAAAACAAAAAACATTTTCGATGAATTTCCTCTCTTTATTTACAGTTTGTTAAATTAAAATATTTGCAATTTCAGGTACATTACACAATTTTTAGTGTTTTCTTTTAAAAACGTTCTATTTTTATCATAAAATAATAATGTAAAGCCACTTCTCTTGTTGTTAATAATTTTTTCGACAATTTTTTTTCGTTTTTTTCTTCTCTTTTTTTAAAGCCATTAATGTTTTGAAGCATTAATCGACAAGTTCATAACGATGACGACAGATGACATATGAAGAATGTTTACAGTTGAAGTTTGTTGTATGAGTCGAACAATATCATCGCAAAAGATGATGTCATACTATTTGATTTCATTCAGTTAACCTCTCAGTTATGATTATTAAATCGGAAAAGAAAAATGAAGGATGATAGCCGAAATGCTTATTTACATTTTATTTAATCCCTCAATCAAACTTACATAGAGTTATTATTAAATCTAAGAAAAGAATCTTAAAAAAAGATATCAAAATATTTAATTTGACTCATTTATTCTTTCAATTAAAATTAATTAATTAAAGCAATCAAGCCATTTATTATTAGCCTTTCCAGGTAATAATATGTAATAAATATTAAAAATTGGTGATGCACAAAATTTAATTTGAATATGACTACAAAATAATGTGTAATTTTCAACTATGATAAAATTTACGTATTATTTGCATTCGTTATATTATAGTGATAACAAATGATTTTCATTCAATATTCGTATAACTATAATTATTCTCTTTATTTCATAAGCGAAAATATTTTTTGTACATTATCGTCGAAAATAATCTATTTATGATACATTAGATTTTAAAATAACAAAACTATTCAGGAATTTAAAAAAATTCCAATTCTTTTTTTGCCATGCCGATATTTCATCGTTGATTTTTTTTTTTGAAAAAAGTGAATTATCAAATTCTTAACAAACAAACAAAAAAACGACCAATGATTGACGTAATGATGACGTGAGGCATATTTAACAATTTTAAGCCTCATTTCAAACATGCACAATCATAGATGATAGCCATTTAAGGCATTGCAAAATTCCTCCATTTCCTCATAGTTCAATAAGCGCTAAGGAAAGAAATAATTTAAAGAGAATTACCACTGAATGTCTTAAATTTTTGTTTTTCTAATACTTTCAAGGAATAGGAAACATATATTAAATTTGAATAATTATAGAAAGCAAAAGAATCTGTAATTCAATTTGAAAATTTTACAGTAATAATATTTTTGAAATTATTAACAAGCTGATTCCGTTAGCAGTTTAATTTTGTTCGTATTCTGTACAGTTTTTAAATGCATTAATTTCATTGTAAAAATTTACAATAGCTTTGCTTTCCTTTTCTTTTTTGTTATTATTGTCATTGTCATTGTCGTAAATTAGACAATATATTCTTTTTTGTGTGCTTTTTTTCAATCGTAATAATAAATTACTTTTGAAAAAAGAAACAGATAAAATGTTATGTAAATACAGCAAATTAACTTAAAAATAAGATAAAAAGATAAATTACAAGCAATAAATGAATAAATAATAGTGCAAAAAATAGTTTAAAATAAATCAATGAGTTTAAAAAAAATTTTTAATTTTACTTTTGCACTTTAAAAAAAGAGTATATGAGGGATACTTAAAGGAATAAGAATGAACGAAAGAAAGTGGAGGAAAAGAAGAGGAAAAGGAAGTAAATTGAGAATTGAAAAGTGATAAATTAATGATTTCATTTTCTTTCCTTCTTTCCGCTCTGCTCATTCATTCATCTTCAGCGGATGATGATACTGATGGAAAAAGCCAAGTCCCGATGTCTCGATCAATTCCAATCAAATCTTCTCTTCCTTATCGGTCTAAGACAAAATAGATTTATGAAAAGAGAAAAATTGAAGCTGACATTTTCCTCCTTTTCTTCTCTTTTTTTTACTATCATCTGTTTTTTAAAAAAAAATATGAGATGGATTGAAATAATCGGGCAAAGTAATATTATGAATATAATCGAATCATATCAAATTTACAAATATATTTTGGAGATATGAAATAAACGAAGGAAAAAAAAAGTAATTTTTATTTTTTTTTAATTTATCAAATTATATTATGTTTAGTTTTTTTCTGTCTTATTCAAAAAATGAAAATAAATTAGTGAAAATGAATTATTCACTGTAAATGACTCCATGAACGATGAAATTGTCGAAAGATCAAAAATCAAAAAGCAGAACAAAAAAAAAAAGAGTTCCTTAAATCATCCATCAATGAATTGGTAAAAACAATAATTTTGCAAAATTTCCTGATTTCATTTATATAATTTTAACAATTATTTCAAAATATGAAATTTAAACATTTTTAGCATAATATACTTTTTTTGTTTTTTAATGATAAGAAATAAACAAATTTTCCACTCTGATCTAAAGGACAAAACAGAAAAATAAAAATTTCATGCTTAAAAAAAATTTTTATGGTTAGAATTAACATACCAATGAAGCAAATTTATTAACAAATTGTATATTTGACTGGAGAAAAAATAATTTAATGTGCTATATAGCATATAAGAATGATAATATTTGATATATATCCCTATCGCACACTGTCACAACAAAAATATGTGTTATCACTATATCACATTCGTATGCAAATTCGTTATCATTATATCATAACTATATGTCCATCGTCATTGACATCATAACAATAACAAAATTATTATATTATCATCATAAATACAATCACTTCGTTATCATTATATCACATTTTTCTATCACTCATTTATATGTAACACTTTCTTACATCGTTTGTTATCCATACAATTTTTCAAGCAAATTTACTGTTAAATAGAAATTTCAAACATTTGAAGTTTGAAATATTTTGGATATACTATTCTGTTTGTTCATGTTAATTATATATAAATATGAAATTAAAAATTAAATTCAAAATCATATACTTGCTGATCACAGTCATCTGTCAGCTGCATTTAATTTCTATTTAAATATAAAGACTAATTCAATTTAATAAAACTGAAACTGTTAAGTGGAATATTATGAAATGGACAATATCATATCAGTCAGTGATTATCTTTTCAAAGACGAGAAGTGGTGAAGATAAAAAAGAAATTATGAATGAAAATTTAAATTATTAGTGGCAATTTTTTATCGAATAATATCACATCCGTAAATTTACTTCCATTGCATGATTACATATAAAATATGGAAGTAAATTTTGAATAAATTTCAATGTTACATTCAATGTACAAAAGGAAGAA